CTATGTGGATTTCATTTTTGGATTATAATGACAAAGAAAGAAATTGTGAAATGATTAATAGTCAACCAGAAATAAGAACATACCTAGCAACCTCCTTTTGACAAAGGCTAAACTTGGGTGGATAACTACAGTATCAAATATGAAACTAACAATTCACAGAACAATCAATAATACTTAAGACATGAGTATAAGGCTTTAGAGCTGGGACTGTAATCAATACAACTCCAACTCCAATATACTAAGGGGTTTTCCAGCTTATCTGAAAAGTTTAAAAAGTATTGGGGGGGGGGCGCGGAGGGGAGAGGAGGAAGCCTCTTTCTATCCCCAAATCTTTGATAGAAATTATTAATAAAAATAAGGCAAATTATTAGATATGTTTGAATTTTACCATTCATTATACAACCAAAAATTGGGTGTTATAAATGAGGCAATTGTCAAAACATGAACATTGCAACACAAGACAAACCGGACATGACTCTTCCGAGTACACAGCATTCTGAATTACACATAACCTGCAAAGAGCAGAGTTGGTGACGGCAATGACATTTTAGTGCATATGACTTTTAAATAACTGAGGCTATTAAAAAACAAAGGCTACTATTAAACTATCAGAAAGCCTCAACTCATTGATTGGTACTTGTGTACAGTTATTTCCTGTATTTATACTAAAATGCTATTTCTTATTTCAAGCATATTGAAAATGTCCCTTACTATGGCTCTCTGTAGAACACATTAAATTAGGCCACCAAGAAAATAATGAAATCAAATCACACCATTTACCCATTTGAACTTGAACAACAAGAATTTCATCATAATTGGCTTGGAATTTGATACTACTGGAACAAATCTATTGCTTGATTAAAAGTTTTTTGAAAGGAATATGAAAGCATCATAACTTCCTAACAGGATAGTTTAAGTACCAAACTGAACTCAAAAGAATTATGATTAGTTTCTATTTTCATTAAAAAACTCACCAATGGCCTGGCTGGTATGGCTCAGTGATTGAGCACTGACCCAGGAACCAAGAGGTCACTGGTTCAATTCCCAGTCAGGGTACATGCCTGGGTTGCAGGCTTGATATGCCCCCTACTGGGGATAGTGCAGGAGGCAGTTGATCAATGTTCCTTTCTCACTGATGTTTCTCTTTTTTTTTCTCTCTCTCATGGATTTTTTTTCTTTCTCATGGATATTTCTATCTCTCTATCCCTCTCTTCCTCGCCCTCTAAAATAATCAATAAAAACAGAAGAAAAAAAAATCTCACCAATGCATTTGTATAAATCCTTTTAGTTACGTTAAGTGCTTTAGTAATAGGCCAAGTAAATTAATAATTAAAAAACTTTTCATTAATTAAGTCACTGGAATAAAATGTTTGCTTCATGTATGTATATTTCACACATAAAATTTAGCTTGATTCATAATCCAAGTTATTAAGAGCAAGAAACTGAAGAAAACCAAAGAAATTATTTAGATCTTGATGTACCTTTAAGATGGAAGACAATGTGATCTTAGGGACAGAAAAAAACTGTTGGCAACTTTCATTAGCTCTTTATAGATTTAAAAGTAAAATAGAAGAATGTGTTTTCCATTTTTTTTATAAGTAAATTAAGCATTCATCAGTTTCTGCTTGGTAAATGTTAGAAACTATCATTATTGTTAAAACACTACATAAAAAACCCCTGAAGATACTAAATTATGATTTATGAAATGATATAATTATATTACTTGAAAAGTGTGAGAATCTGTTTAATAGTGTCAACAATAAAAATAAAGTTGAAAACAATATATATACTAAAAACTGGTTTCAAAGAATGGGGTTTTCATCTTTCCAAGGTCTCTGATAAGAGCTGGTATTAATTTTGCAGTAAAATCTAAGAGTTATCATACATTAATTAAATACCTTTCTCTTGTCCTTATTTTCCCTTTGGGTATTATTATAGCACTGGCAAAAAAGTATTTTCTGCAATGACAAAAATATTCTAAATCTGGTTTGGCCAATATAGTAATCACTACCTATGTGTGGCTGTGGTTACTGAAGTACTTAAAGTGTGGCTAGGTGACTGCGGAACCAGATTTTTATTTTATTTTAAATTGTTACATGTGGCTAGCAGCTAATGAATTGGATAGTGCAGGTCTAAAATCTACTCTTATCTAGATTAACAAGAAGCCAATGGATGATCAAGACAATTAGAAGGAGACCTATCCATTCAACAACTAATTAGTAGATACCCAAAACACATTTCGTTCTTGTGTGCGTGCGTGTGTGCAAAGCACATCAGTAGAACAGGCAGTACTGCAGAAGGAAATACCACAGAAACTTCTCACGCTATAAAAATATTTCTCTCACCTGACAATACAAAATAATACAAAACTCTAAGAGAATGTTCTTATGCAAAAATCTTCCTATTCTTTGGCAGTAATCATGTGTGTGTCAATGCTTATGTAAAAACAACTATTCTAATACTTTTTGACTATCATTTAAATGCTATTATATTTAAGTTACAAATGGAAGAGTCCTGACTCCTAAAACATCTCTTAGTAAGCTAAAAACTTTGCTATATTTGAATTCAGGAAAATGACCAAGTTCCTAAAGCATATCTGTTATAGTGGAACTAAGAATATTTCTGTAGTATTTGGCCCTCTTAGAGCCAGCCTTTCCCCGTCAACTCATGCCACCACTTACCAGATTCTCTGACTTCCTAGCTCCTGGCACTTGGCTTTCTTTCTCCTGTCTTTGGGTCTATGCAGTGATGAAGAAACTATGAACCTTAGTTAAAGACGGTTTGTAGGTATTTTAGGAGCCAGGGAAATCAAAGGTTAAGAATATCTTCTGATTCACCAGAAGGCTGTTTACTTTTTATTACTGCAACTCCAGGAAACAAAACGTTTCAAGGGTGTTTGCATTTGGGAGAACTTGGTTTCATGAGTTATTAAGTTATTGTGAAATATAAATTTTAATTCATGTTTAGCAACCCCAACCCACCTTCAAATAGATTTCCAGACTTAGAACTTCAGATCTGACTTTAAAAATTTTAGCAAGAGTACAAAGCCCATTTAGGCAATCTTTTACATTTTTCTTAGTGAGTGCTCCAAAATAAGGAAAATAACCCCAGTGGAAAAGATAAATAAAAACATGCCACAGAAAGGTAGAAGGAAAAAAATTATCTAATATTAGTAAAGTGCTGTGAATCTTGCAATGAAGTATAAATAATACATAAGTGATTAGAAGTAACAGTAAATAATAAAACTCATTTCTAATAGTGACATATATAAAATAAACATGATAGAATGTATATACAGTAATCACCGACCGTATGTTGACAAATACACCAAGAATAAACGAGTCCCTTTTATTAATTTCACAATATAGTTGCTAAACTAATTACTATCTTTTGTCAATTTAGAAATCTCTAAAGTCTCCCATGTACATTATTAGAGCCTCAGCATGCTTTGATAGTTTTCTTTTTCTCACTTTGAGACTGTTCTTCTCATAGCATTTAATTTTTCCTTTAAGCTCTGAGTAGATATAATCAGGATATTTGATAGCCCCTGGGGCCTAAAATTTTGCGGCTATGGATACCTTCTCTGATGACTTCATCTTCAGACCCTAACCATCTAATTCAGAGACTGCTGATAACATATTAGGTATATAAGGGCTCTTCTTGAATATATATTTTTTAAATGTATACTCTTGCCTTCACTTAAAAAAAAATTTCTGTGGTGCTTTTGTATAATTAAGAGGGACAGATTTCTTCTCATCTCATCAAATCACAGTATTCTTTTTTAAAAAAATATTTTTATTGATTTCAGAGAGGAAGGGAGAGGGAGAGATAGAAACATCAATGATGAAAATCATTGATCGACTGCCTCCTGCACACCTCCTAATGGGAATTGAGCCTGCAACCTGGGCATGTGCCCTGACTGGGAATCAAACCATGACCTCCTGGTTCATAGGCCGATGTTTAACCACTGAACCACACTGGCCGGACAAATCACAGTATTCTTAATGACCTTAAATCATTACCTTAGGTCTAGTAATGGGCTAACAGTTTCAAAATGAAAACAGGTGCATTCCCCTCCAATATAACATATATAGTTAATAGTGTGTGCCCGGTTAATGCCTAATGAAGGGAAGGATAATTAAAAAATAAATTGTTTTTGCCTATTCTTTTTTATCAAATGATCACATAATAAAGTCAGAAAATTTTATGTGAACTTTTACTTTAGGAACATTTGTTAAGACAATGTAAGTTTTAACTGTTTTAATATTTCCATCTGCCTGGATGTGTTTTATAACTAGGCCATTTCTTATCCCAAAAATCCACTCTACTCTCTAGGATTTGCCTTAACAGCAGTTCTATTACTTTCTCAGATTTCTATGCTCACTTATATACAGCATACAATCTTATCTTACAGAATGTTATTAGAAAATATTAGAAAACAGAAGAATAGTGAAGAGACATAGCTGTAATTGCTGATATATAATTGTTAGAAAACATTTATAGATCCCCCAATACTGCCAAAACTCATAACTAGGTTCAGGTGTCTAGTTTTTCAACAACTAATGTCCCTTCTCTATCATTTTAAGTGCAATGTGAAGAATCCAAGTGCATTTAAAGATAACATTAAATATAAAGGTCATAAGTTTTTATATTCATAAAGATAATACATGTGAATTATATTATCTTTATGAATATAAAAGACTATTAAAAAAATCAGTATATACTTCCAAAAACATAATCAGTGATTTAAAAGAGAAGTATGTCATTACATCTGCACTATCCTTCATTTACAAAAAGGAAGCTAAATATTAATGCTTCCGTGATTTGAGGGAATGGGGAGGAGTAGACATTAGCAGTTAGAAACAAATTATTTCTTGTGTTTTAGGCTTCTGAGAAATGAATGATATTTACTGTAAAACTTTAGGCCCTAAAATTATTGTGCTCACGTTAGACACTAAAATCTTTGCAAATTTTTCAATAAAAGGAACATACACCAATTCTTATTTAAATATGCTTTATAGAAAGTAAAAAATTGGATGACAGATACATTGAGAATAACCTTCCTCATATAAAAACTACATGATAGAAAATCATTATAGTTACAAAGAATGGGCTCTGAAACCGCTTTCTAAATGTAATGAAACTAGGTTGTACAACTACCAAAAGGAGGTGCCGAAGTTAACCGTGGGAGCCATAGGAAAAGGGATGATCATTACAGAATGGAAAATCCTTTTAACTTATATTTAAAAAAAGGACAAAATGAAAAAAACATGCTAAAAGAATTTTCAAAGTTTCTGATATCCATTTTAATTTTGTTGAGTACACTCCTTCATCCTACTTTGGGATATCACACAGGCTTTGCTGTTAAGAAGTACAATGCTACATCCGCTCTACAGCCATTTCTAAGAAAAGGGCCCCTTCATAATACTAGGCTAAAAAGTAAAAATATCCTTCCATAGTTTAATGAGCAGACAGCAAAAAGCATTTTGCCTTAATGTTGTTATTTTTCCCTTAGCAAAAGCAAGATGCTGAGTACTTTTCTCTCACTGTAGGACCAGAGATGTCTGATCCATGTGTCTGTGCACTAGCTAGGTTTGTACTTACTAGCTGTGAGTTGTGGATGCTTTTTCAGATAAATCTCACAGGTTCCAACTGAGGATAACTGTAACATTCCTGGAGTCTGAGATCTGGACAATTAGAGATTCAATGCAGAGTTAAGATAATTTAAAATTTTAGATTTGTGTTGCAAGATAATTCTTATATCGGGATAAAGATTTTCAAGTTTTTAACATGGTTATTATCTTTAAAGGATAAATGCTTATCTAAGAGCAAGAGATACTAAAAAATATTTTATGCCATTAGTTAACAAAACTGTTATTGAAAAGGAGATGCGAGTAAAGCAGCACATAAATAAAATGTCTTTTCTTCAACTAAACTCATCTTTCACTTACAACTTATTGCTGATCTATTTGGACAGCATGGATTTTCATGCCTTTGTGAAAACTAATGAAATATATAGGCTAAAGTCTCTGGCTGGATAACATTTAGCTTAATTTTGTACATTTGAGCTTTTATTATATAAACAAAGCAATAAAACTTCAACAAAATTACAAACAATATTTCCTTATTATAATCTAAGTATCCCATTAAGCCAGTGGTTCTCAACCTTCCTAATGCCGCGACACTTTAATACAGTTCCTGTTGTGGTGACCCCCAACCATAAACTTATTTTCGATGCTACTTCATAACTGTAATTTTGCTACTGTTGTGAATCGTAATGTAAATATCTGATATGCAGGATGTATTTAGGCGACCCCTGTGAAAGGGCCGATCGACCCCCAAAGGGGTCGCGACCCACAGGTTGAGAACCACTGCATTAAGCCAATGTTTTTTTGTGTTGTTTTTTTTGAACCAGGCTAGTGCTATCTAATAGAAATAATTCAATCTTGATCAATTTTGGAACATGGGTCCTTTATTTAGGGACTTCTTTTTCTTGACTATTAACAAGTAATTAGACAAATTATAAAAAGATATAACTGAAATTTTGGGAAGTTCTTTTAAGTACAACTGTATTGTTTATTCTCTTTTTAGATGTGGTAAACTACAATATTTGCTGCATTTTTTTCCATAATGAACTTCTTAAATAGACACTGCAGAACATAAATTTTATGCTTTAATATTCCTTAGTTATTTACCTTATATTTTCCTACCATGGCTAGAAGGAAAACAGCAAATAAGCTTTTTGATTATAAGAATTCAGACACTAGAGTAGGCTGATGTATCACCTCAACCTAATGCAATAACACTGTACTTAGTCCATTGGTGAGGACAGGACTAGCTCCACTGTCTAAGTGAACTGTGGCCACTGTGTCTAAGGGGTTTGTGAAAATACAGCACAGCTCACATCTAAATAAAGCACCCAATGTCTTCCACCTTCCAGAGAGACCATGCATCATCACAAACCTCCTGAGAAATTACTAAGCATTACAGGAGAGATATCAATTTCATAAATCCTGCCCAAAGCTGGACAGAGTTGTCACTGTTATAGCTAAGTGTTACTCCTGCTTTTTTTTTTTAAAAAAAATCAAACAATGTTTAGAAATATAATTTCTTCTATATACTTTAAAGTAATATACTAAACTTTAAGGGTACAGTAAAGGAGAGTGAAAGTTATCACTGTAAAACACCAAAATAATAGCATAAAACAACAGATGCTGAAGAAAAATAAGAAGTAAAACTTCCTTCTAAAAGCGTGGCACCGTTCTAACCCATTTAGAGAACTCTATCTGAGGAGGTGGGTGGGTCAGAGACCAGGACTGGGGCAGTAAATAGAGAAGTAAAATAAAAACTTCATATCTTATAGGATATAGTCCTTTAAATAAATAGCTCATAGACTCTATGTCCATCGATCTTATCCTACAGGTATAATTTCCCAGTTATTTTAATTTAACCAAGATTGGCTTCACACTCTGTTCTAAAGCAGGTGGATCCTTATGTGGTTTGGAAAATCAGGGGTTGGGGGTAAGAACCATCCTAAATAGTTTTTGATCTTTTAAAGTCAAAACTTTTTATGTTGATTAGTTTGGCGTAGCCTCCTGAAATCTCGCAATGCACTCTACTCAGGTGGTTCTGTCCATTATCACTAATTCTTGCTGCTTTATGGTCATATTAGGCAGAAGCATTCACACTGCGTTTAGATTTCTGTACTTAATGTAAGAATCAACACAATGCATAAAGTCATTTCTGTGTATATTCTGATACTTCCTTCAAGTACGATTTCTGAGGACAAATGAAAACACTACTAATTTTTAGGTCGATTTTCTTACAAAAATGGAAGTAGGAATTTAAAACCAAACATTTGACTACAACTTATGAAAATTCTGAATTACATTTGGCTTGATTTAAAATTACTAATTTGTATTAATATACAGAAATAAATGAAACCTGAACTTCCAAACAGCATGTACATGAAATAAAATCCTCTTATGTGGTGACCTATCTAAAAACAAAAACAAACAAATTTAAAAACTGACCTAATTTCAGTAATTATTTTGCTTTTAATAAAATGGGCTATGGTGTAAGAAAAAGGCTGGAGGAGAACTTAAATATAATTGGGGACCAAATGCTTGAATTAATACGTAAAGGCAGGCAGAGGCATTTCATTTTCAAATAAATGATATTTTACATTTATGTAGCACCTTATATACTCAAAGTGCTTTACAATCATTACTTGACAACCATCATCAATGTAAATAAATGTGGTTTACAATCAAGCTATCAATGAATCTAAACACTTTGATGCAACCAAATACCCAAGAGAATCTGTTCAGTAGCAAATTCTTGGACTAATACATAGAATTAAGAAAAAAATGTAAAAGAGACCTGTCACAACAGCACGTATAAGAAGTCCTTTGCTGATCTTAATGACTGATATTAAGATGTTAAGTATTA